TGGCCTTAAACATGATGGGTTTTAAAATCTTTTAACACATGCCCCACCTTCATAGGTGGTCAAAGCATGCGACCATCCAGCCTCGCGGCCTTAAACATGATCGGTTTTCCGCTCCATGTTGTTTCTTCTTGCACCCTTTCCCTTGCACTTGTCCTCTGGGTTTGACACTTTGCTTGTTTCAATGTTCTTGTCTTCCTCGATGGGCCTATTCCGTATTCTCGCTTTCATGCGCTCCTCTCGACTCCCGTTCCTAGGTTGTGTAGGATTTGTCTTCACACTTTCCCACCCACGAAGAATGTTCCAAACAGGAGTCCACCCAACCCGAGGGCGTGAGTAATCGACCAACCTGTCCACCCCAAGGGATGTTCTAAACAAGCAACCACCCAGCCTGAGGACCTTAGTCATGGTGGTTTTTGGCTTTCACACTTGCCCACTCGCAAGGAATGTTCTAAACAGGAGGCCACCCAGCCCGAGGGCGTGAGTAATCAACCCATCTGCCCACCCCAAGGGATGTTCTAGACAAGCGACTTCTAAGTTAGACCACACCATATACATCCTATCATCCAAACCATACCAACATTCCAAGCATAAGAAAATATGCCATAAAGCAAATAATATGATATGATAACTGAATTACATTAACTTTTTGAGCAAATTTTGCAAGTTACAACTTTGTTCAGACTGACTTCTAGGATTTCTTTTGAAAAAAAGCAAAAATTTTACACATAATATTTTTTCAAATTAGCTATGTTCCATGACCTGGCAAGCGATCGGCTTTCTGCGTCCTTCAGCGAGTACGCTCCTCCTACGTGCACTCGCTCGACTAGGTATGGTCCCTCCCAATTTGGTTCTAGCTTCCCCACATGTTTGAGCGCATCGACACGTTTCCAAACCAGGTCGCCTACCTGGAGTCTACAAACTTTCACCTTTTTGTCATGAGTAGCTCGCATCCTTTGCTTGTATGCCTCCACTCTAATCGTTGCTCTTTCGCACAGTGCCTCGACAGTTTCTAGAGCCACCATCATTAAATCTTCATTTTGCTCAGGTTCATATGTGCTTGAGCTCTGTGATGATAGTTCGACCTCGACTGGCAGCAATGCCTCCATCCCATAGACTAAACTGAAGGGAGTTTCTCCTGTTATCGACTTCGGGGTTGTACGATACGCCCAAAGTACTGAGGTTAACTCATCAACCCATGCCGCCGTGGCCTTTTCCAGCCTTGTTTTCATCCCAATAAGTATAATTCGATTGGTTACCTCGACCTGGCCATTAGCTTGCAGATGAGCAATGGAGGCAAAGTGTTGCTAAATTTTCATGTCTTCACACCATGCTCAAATCCGCTTGCCATTGTCGGAAATCAACACTTTGGGAACGCTAAACCTGCAGCAAATATTGTTGTATAAAAATTTGATTACTTTCTCCTCCGTGATCTTCGCCAAAGGTTCGGCCTCCACCCACTTTTTGAAATAATTGATAAAATTAGAAATTCATTAATTAAGTTTGACATTTCTAACTAATATATTTAGTAAATAAGATCCCCTTCAATATAAGTATAGATTTGTGTTATTAGATCCCGTGGCAAAACAAATCTTTTAATATACAATTTATTCAGGAGATTATCAACATGAATAAACATGACTCGGTGGAATATGATATGGCACGTGGCGTGCGCTACGTGCGCTGCTCACGTCCTTTGGCAAATTCACTAATCAAACTACAACTTCCCTCGAGTAATCTAACTTATTTGATCATGAACAACATATAACAACTAATTACATGAAGTTTACTCAAGGATTTCCGAAATAAATACGAACCATCACATGATCATGACTTAAAGACCTAAAACTGAACATAACTTGGCTTTAATTGACATAAGTTAAACATGGATCCCTAAACTGGTCATATTAACATGAATTGATCAAGAAGATGGTGATAGCTCCTTGAACTCTCGGCTGGTCGCACAAGATGCTCGCCTTGTGCTTCCGTGCGCGTGTTGCTCTTCTCCGTGCATGTGTGCGTGAGCTCTCCTTACTTAACTCTCACAAACAACTTAAGCTAAATAAAGTATATGGGTTGAGTAATATATGGAGCAAAATTGCTGAAGTTTCCTCACTTATACCATTTTATACTTAAGAAACCGAATGAGGAAAATGAGGAAAGGTCATGGACCAATAACCTTGCTACACTTGCGGCTAAAAGGAGTTTAATAGGTTCATGTGGTGCTTACTCATCTAAGCAATAGCTTAGTCACTCCTTAGCTAATTTAATATGAAGACACCTCATTCTTGGAGCAAGTAAGGAATTTCCATGATTTATTGCTCCAAATACACACGGCATTATGAAGAGAAATTGAACATGATTTATGTAATATCAGTTAAAATTTCGGGTCCAGTTCAGTTCAGTTAATTAATATCAGTTCAGTTTCGTACTTAACTGGTTTCAGTTATACCGATTAAGTTCGAATATCATGTCAGGTTCAGTAGAGCATCTTAACATAATTAATCAGTTAATTTATCAGTCTGAGCATAGTCAGTAGTAATTGTTTATATTATTTTCAGTTTGATCAGGCATCAGCACTACCATTCAGTTTCAGCAGTTCAGGTGGGGACTCAGACTAAGTACTACATTGTTTATAATTACGCTACCATGTTTGAGGTATGTATTATCAGTTCAGTATCCGCTCGGAATGGTCGCCGGTTCATTCTGGGTTCTAGTGGCCTTAATATGCCCACTAGAGTGTGCACATGGTGTCCGGTATTAGTTTTTGCCGGCAGATGTTCAGTTATCAGTTAGGTGACTTACGTCGCGAGATCAGACTGGTATCAGATATCAGTTTCAGATTCAGTTTTAGTTTAAGTTTCAGTTCAGTTCAGTTATATATGCCAGGATCATGATATTGTTATTATATTCACTGTTTTACTTTAGTTTGAGTTTCTGCGGAGCACAGTGCCTTAGAGGATGATTGGATATAAAAATTTTTGGTTTTGTTTGGATTTTTTTGTTTGGTTTGGTTAGTTTTGAAAAAGTTGGTA